AAAACGAGCACACAAACAAAATTCCGTATAACCAAACATAATGAATTACGTTTTAATAACTCTTCTCAAAACAAGATGGAAAATTAGTTGAGCGTAATCCAGGATAAGATTTCCCGGAAACGCTTGAATTTGCATATTTCCCTCTTCAAGTTTGTCAACAACACTTGTCTTTCCGTGATTAACTCCTATTCTAGTTGCCTCCATTTTTTGTTAATTGCGCGTTCTGATTACTGCGGCAGGATTAGATAGCTGCGAAATTGCAGGGCGATTTGTTACAGGTAAATCGCGAAAATCCACGACCATAAAGCCCTATCTCTTCACGACGCTCTAATGGAATACGTAAAGACAAATTAAAACGTGTAACGCAAAGATATCGTTTAGATGTCGTCTCTATTTGCAGCGGACGGAATTGCGGGACATTCTGCATCCTATTATCCTTGCAATTTTGAATAAAACATCCTGGGAGAACAGAGAGGCGGCTTTTATTTTTGATAACTATCGAACGACACGTCACGTTTTATTAGAGGAAAGTGCAGTAAGGTAAATTGTTCTAAAATTTATCTTTTTTTTTAAGTAAATTGGATTTAAAATGAGAAGGAATTCATTCGGTGCTCTTTAATACAAGCTTTCTACATTGTTGTCAACATTTAATCAAATATTTTGTAATACTGTTTTGTTTTGATATATCTGTCTTGATTGCACCGACGGCACGCTGACGCTCGTAAAAGTACAACTTTGATATATAACTTATTTATTTGTCTTCTGAACTACTGGACCGATTGTTGTCAACTTTTGTGTGTATATTAGGATTATTTCCATAAAAAATTTCATGCTGTCACTTTCAAAATTTACAACAGTAAATTTGTTTTTATTTATATAAATTACTAAGATACCCTTGCACTTGCAGTGTACAATTCCGTATTGAGTTTTCGTCCTAGACATCCAAATTGTCGGGAAAAAAAAATCAAAATTGTATAACAGTTTGCATCATAAGCATGGTAAATAGTTAATCACAATTTAGTCGTTTATCCTCTCCTAAAAAATTGATGACGTCATCTCAAAATTTTGCTTAATAAATCCTCTCTGAAATGTGTACAACATTATGACTCTATACTTGTGGTTTATCACAGTACTCATATTTTACAGAATTACGTCAAGGACGACTGACTACATTTTCCCGAAATATTTGGGAAATTTTTTGATATCACAATTTTTCGTTTTTACTTTCTCTTGGATTTTACAATTTTTTGATATCGCTGTTTTTCGTTTTATCATATTCTTTCATTTTTCAATTTTTCCATTTTCCAGTGTTTCGTTTTCATAATTTTTCCTTTTGGCAACTTCAAATTTTAATTTTTCAGTTTTTGTCAATTTTGTAATTTTTCCATATTAAAATTTTTCAATTTTCGATTTTTCAGTTTCTCAGTTCTTAATTTTCCGATTTTTCAATTTTTCGTTTCGTCAATTTTTCTTGATTTTTCGTTTCCATTTTCCCGAATTTTTTAATTTTCATTTTCTCGATTTTATCACAATTTGACGTTTTTTCATTTTTTTTAATTTTTTAAATCTTTAATTTTTCAATTCCCCGATTTTCGAGTTTTTAATTTTTTCAATTTTGCAATCTTTGGGAGTCTCAATTATCCGATTTTATGATTTCTTTAATTTTCAATATTGTGGTTTTACAACACTTATTTCGCTTCGTCGATTTTTAAATTTCTAAGTTAATTTTAATTTTTCGATTATTCAATTTTTCGTATCTTTAATTTTTCAAGTTCTTGTTTTCCAATTTTTAGATTTTTCTAAAGTTCTTATTTTACACTTTTTGGTTTTTTCATTTTTCATTTTTTAATTTTACAATTTTCCATTTTTTTGATCTGAAAAGTTCAAAAATGAAAAACTGAAAAAACAAAAAATTGGAAAATCTAAAAAGTGGAAATCGAAAAATTAAATCGAGGAACTTAAGAAACGAAAAATTGAAGAACTGAACAAAAAAATAAAAGTTGAAAAACTAAAAATCGGAATTGATGAATCGAAAAATTGGAAAGACGAAAAATTATAGCATCGTCAAAATTGTAAAGTCGAAAAACTAATATTGAAAGATTGAAAAAGTGAAAAATTAAATATCGAAAAATTGAAAAATCGAATAAATGTGAGAGTTTATAAAATCCAATATCTGAAAAACATAAAAATTCAGAAGTCGTAAAACTGAATATCCAAAAATTGAAAAATTTTACATTAGAAAAAATATAAAATTAGAAATTTGAAAAACAGAAAAACTGAAAAAATAAAGAAAATAATAACAAACGAAAAACTGCAAATCGAAAAATCAAAGAAATGAAAAACTAAATTAAATTTAAAAATTGAAAAGTTAAAAACTGAAAACTCGTGAAATTGCACATCGCAAAATTGCAAAATCTAAAAATTGAAAAATCCAAAAGCTGAAAAAACAAAAAAACTGAAAAACTGAAGGTGGAAAAATTGAAAAATTGCAATCGAAAAACTGAAGAAACGAACAATTGAAAAATTTAATTTGCAAAAACAAATAATTATGAAAGGGGAACATTGAAAAATCGAAAAATTTTAAATCGAAAAATTGAAGAAACGAAAAAACACTAAACTAAAATTGAAAACGTTGAAAAATCAATCTTTTGCTGAATTTTTTGCTCTGCTTTTTGTTCTATTTTTTCTGGAGTTTTGTTTGATTCTTTCCTCGATTTTTTATTCAATTTTTTTTTAACCTTTCGTTCACTTTTTGCTCTATTTTTTGGTCGATTTTTTTTCTACTGGTTTTTGCTATTTTTCCATTTTTTCGATGTTTTATTCGATTTTTTTACTGAACTTTGTGTTCGATTTTTTGTTGAGTTTTTTTTAACTAGATTTTTTTCTTTTGACTTTTTTCCTTCTGTTTTTTCGGTGATATTTTGTTTTATTTATTCGCCCATTTTTTTGTTCTATTTTTGCTCAATGTTTTGCCTCTTTTTTTAATCGAATTTGTTTTTAGATTTTTTGCCCTTTTTTTGTTGGATTTTTTTAATTATTTTTTTTATTCTTAACCCTGCCCCTGAAGATGCCACTTACGAAAGTGTGCGAAACGTTGAGCCCGAAAACTCAATTGACACAATCCCAACCCAGAAAACGATCATGTATTTTTTTGTTCTATATTTTATTCAATTCCTGCTCAATTTTTTTGTTCATTTTTTTTTTGTCTACTTTTATGTGTCAAGTTTTGTTCGACTTTTTGTTTGGTTTTGTTATAAAAAAAGAAACAAATCGGAAACATATAACTAAACATTTGGTTGGATTTTTTTTTCGAATTTTTATTTGATTTTTTGACTGATTTTTTTTGGTTTGTGCAATTTTTGGTCGATATTCTGTTGAATTTTGAAAGTTGAAAGAAATGATAAATTGAAAAATTAAAAATTCAAAACTCGTTAAAATGCAAATCTAAGAATTGGAACATCCAAAACCTGAAAAATCAAAAAATTGAAAAATTAAAAAACGAAAAATCGAAGGGTTGCATATTGTAAAACTGAACAGAAAAGTGGAAAAATTGAAAAATTGCATCCGAAAAATTGAAGAAACGAAAAATTAAAAAATCAATCTTTTGCTGAATTTTTTGTTCGATTTTTGTTTGATACTTTTGATACTTTTCTCGATTTTTTGTTTCATTTTTCTTAATCTTTTGTTAACTCTACTCTAAATTTTGGTCGATTTTTTTTTACTTTTTTTGCTATTTCTTTTTCAGTTTTTCGATTTTTTATTCGATTTTTTTACTGAACTTTGTGTTCGATTTTATTGTTGAGTTTTTTTACAAAATTTTTTTCTTTCGTTTTTTTTGTTCAATTTTTTGGGTGATATTTTGTTTTATTTATTCGTTCAATTTTTTGTTCTCTTTCTGCTCAGTTTTTTGTTCCAGTGTTATGACATTTTTTTTGTCCAATGTTTTCGATTTTTTGTTTTCATTTTTGTTCAGTTTTTTTACTCATTTGTTTTTCAATATTTTTTGTCAATTGCGGCTTAACTTTTTTGTTCGCAGCGTTATATTTTTTTGTTGGCTTTTATGTTTCATGTTTTGTTCGATTTTTTCTTCGGTTTTGTTAAAAAAAAGAAACAAACATTTGGTTGGTGTTTTTGATTTTTTTCTTCAAAGTTTTGCTCGATGTTTTGCTCCTTTTTTGGTGAATTTTGAAAAATGAAAGAAATGAAAAATCGAAAAATTAAAAATTGAAAACGCGTGAAATTGCAAATCTAAATTTAATCATCCAAAAGCTGAAAAATCGAAAAATTGAAAAATAAAAACCAAAAATCGAAGAGTTTGCGTATCGTAAAACTGAAGAAACAGAAAAGTGGAAAATTGAAAAATTGCAATCGAAAAACTGAAGAAACAAAAAATTGAAAAATTTGATTTGAAAAAAAAAAAAATGAAATGGGAACTTTGAAAAATCGAAAAATTTGAATTGAAAAATGGCAAATCGAATAATTGGAAAACGAAATATCGAAAAAACTAAAATTGGAAAATCAAAACATTAAACTAAATTTATAAAACTGAAACATTGAAAAATCGAATGAATGAAAAAATAAAAAAGAATTCAAATCGAAAAATTGTGAAATTAAAACTTTGTAAATTTCAAAAATTATAGATATCAAAAATGGTAAAAAAAATATTATTTTTCCAAGAAACGGGATTTATTGGATTGCACTTCAGAGACTAGGGAAATTGTGTTTAAATAAACTTCGACCAATTTTTTTTAATAATTATTTGTATTCGTAACCAATGTGCAGCTTTAAATAAATCAATAGCAATATGAGAAAATCATGGATAAAGAAAACAAGAACACAACAAGCGAAAAAAGAACGTTTTCTCCCCGAGTTTAATGCTTGTGCTGCACTGTAAATTTTACAAACCATCACACATACGTTATCCTACAGCACAACTGTAATGTGTGTTGCATCTGCACACAGCCTCATCCATTTTATTAATTTAAACTCATAAATACGGATTTAAAATGCACAAAAAAGATTTATTTTTGCTAGAATGTACACACCACTTTACGAAATAATGTTTGCACTTTTCTTGCAAAAAATTAAAATGCTCCGGTTAGTTGGTCGACTAAAGTTCTCACAAATAAAATTATTTTGCGCCAGGTGAATTCTTTCTAAGGCGAGTAAATTCTCCATAACGTTCTCAACTTCAATTTCCTTGAGGTGATTGCCTTCTAAATTAAGCTCTTCGAGTTTCACTAGTCCATTAAACGCACCATTTTCGATAGTTTTGATTCTATTAGAAGCCAAGTTTAATTTAATTAACTTTTTAAATATCCGAAAACTTGAGCTGTTCAAACTTTCCAAATAGTTGAGCGATAAATCTAGATATTCCAGTTCTCTCAACGGCTCTAACCCGCCTTCGCAGATACTTCTAATAAAATTATGTTTCACGTATAAATTCTTCAATTTTTCTAACCCTACCCAGTTGATCCGACTTAAGAACTCTATATCGTTCCCGGATAAGTCAAGAGTTTCCAGAGCGCCACATTCGAGAAACACTGCCTGTTCGATGTTAGCGATTTTATTACCAAAGAAACCTAAAATTTTCAAGTGAGGTAGCCCATCAAAAGCCCTCAGGGCGATCTCCCGGACGTTCGTCGTATTAAAGTAGAGACCTTCTAACTGCGGCATGGACGTGAAAGCCGACGACGGTATTGCGCTGTTATCTCCATGAAGAATACACAATTTCGTCTGATTAGTCCTTATATTAATTTTGTGGGTCGGCTTGAGTGTTAAGCCCACGCAAACAGTGACGCCACTGGAATCCCTGCAAGTCTCGCCTGAAATTTCGGAGGCAACTGCCAAAAAAGTTATCAAGCCCAGATTTAGCATGGCGGAACTGAAATTAATAAAGTTACGAGAGAAAAACAGATTGTTATACTTACTTTGCGCAGATTTGTATGGCGATTGTGTCTGGTTTATTTGACACAGGTCAATGGTTCAGGAGATAAGGGCGATGCGTTTGAAAGTAGGGCCGCGGAGAACGAGATTAAATGCTGGTTTACAGTACGAAGTGTGTGTTATTAAAAATTAATTGTTCGAAGTGACGTCATCGACTTTTTGGTGGGGATGAGTATTTGATTTTTAAGGGTGCTGTTCTTGGACAACAGTGAAACACATGAAATTTAGTAACACTTTATTTAACAACTTGTAATACATTCATAAAGTTGGGCATGATTGTTACAGTTGAATTTTACGTCTCTACGTTGTGTTTGATGGTTTCCAGGCTCAATAAAGCGCTGCAAGGCTGCTAACAATTTAGTTTGCTAAATTCTTGACCTAACTGCTACAGTAGAACATAGGTTAATTCAACAGACATATAATAAAAGTAGCAAAGTTTTAATTTATATTGAAACGAATCAATAATTATTATTGTTGAAATTTATTAAACTGTTCTGTTAGGAACATGTCGTATTATTATGTTAATGAATATATTAGCACAGTTAGATCAGAGTAGTGTATGTCATTAGGTAATGCGTGAATAAACTGTGAGTCTTACTTAGGTGATAGAAATACCAATATAAAAAAGTGGTCTTATACTATTAGTGACAACTTCCCTCGCTTTTGAAGTACAATCAAGCAAGTCCCGTGTTGTAGAATAAGTATAGATAACACCGGTCATACTTTAAGAAAAAATCGTCTAAAATTATTCAGGCAGAATTTCCTTCGCACCTGAAGTCAAACATGCAATCAAATTCAGTGTTTAAAAAAATATTCTTCACATGAAAGTCATGAAACAGATGACAAATACTGACTGCATAAACATTTTTATAAAGTGATTATGATTACAAACCAAGATGGATTCATAAACCAGAAGTATAGGAATATACATATTATTTAATGTACAAAATTTGGAGGTGTCGTCATCAAATTTTTAGTGCGAAGGATTAGGTGAACTTTGGTTAGCGTTTCACCATCTACACTATATTTTTAAATTTATTTAAATATAAAATTTGACACCAGTCTGTCTTCTAGTCTCCATTAGTTGTTTTAATCTACATCTTGATATAAATTATTCAGGAGATTTTTCCAACAGGTTTGAATTGGACAAAATTATACAGGGTTAGTATAAAGTCCCGGAACGGTCGAATAACTTTATTTGAATTTTTTTTTTCTGAAATTTGCTGATATATAGTTAACCATGGCGACTTGATTACAACATTTTTCCTTTTTTTATTGCTCTCGGTTTGACAGACAGGGTCACCTACTTCTTCTTTTTTAATGGAACACCCAGATTTTTTTGACATTTTCTAAAGCAGAATACTTTCAGGAATTATCAACACGTTTATTTCTTCTGGTACAAAGAGAATACAAAATATTTACAAAAAAACAAACACCTAATCTAAGAAATAAATCGTGTTATACCATAACAGACATATAATTCATTGAGACATTTTGTTGATCGATTACATCACTGCCAAATTGTAAACCGAGAACATTTTGAACATTTATTGTAGTCTTACTCATAGTTTATAATTTATTAGTATTTTCAAATATGACGTGATTTTACAATATTCGGTGTTTTTGTGATTTTTTTTCTATTTTTTGTGTCAGTAGAAATAAACATATTGATAATTTCTGAAAGTGGCTTTCTATTCTGCATCAGAAAACGTCAAAAAAAATCTGGGTGTTTCATTAAAAAAAAAGTAGGCGGCCTTATCTGTCAAACTGAAAGCGATAAAAAAAGGAAAAATATTGTAATCAAGTCGCCATGTTTAACTATATATCCACACCAAATTAAAAAAAAAAGCTTTTCAAATAAAGTTATTCAGTCTTTCCGGGACTTTATAGTAACTCTGTATAATAAAAATTTGAAGTATTGGTGCAAAAAATTCAAATTTATTAAAATATAAGAATAATCCTTTTATATAAATTTAATTTATAAAATATTTTAACGGAGATTAAATTAATCATATATTTAATGAGGCCTTTAGCGACGTCTGATTGGCGCAGAGTCGGTCAGGTGGTACTTTAACGTCGTGTAAATAATTGAATCGCAGCCAAATATTTATTGAGCTTTTATAAACCGTGTCTTGTACTTTTTATGTATAGTTTTGAAGTTCGTATTTCAAACGTTTTTAATAAAGTCTCATATTGAAATACTCTCTCCGGACAATTTTCAGTTATTTTGTACCAAAGATATTTTGCCCATTTAAGTTTATTAATAGGTGTTCAGTTTGAACCTTTTACGTCACTCGAATCCCAAACAAGGCAGTGTTTTACTTTAGATCAAACTAGAGAAGAAAGTAGTACTTTTAGTACCAACATATCCTCAAACTGATCGTAATACAATACTTTAACGATGCAAATATTGGTGGGTCGAAAGCCCTGATAGAGGTATCGGGGGCAGGAATTAATTCGTGACAACCGCGCCCCCTTTCTGCGTCGTCGTTTCCCCAGGATCTGAGGCAGCCTTGTCTTGACCAGATAAATTTTTTTTTTTGGTTGCTATTTTATCCGATAAATTTTTATCACAGTCGTTACTGGCGCCCGAGTATCTGTCCCTGTCTCGGGTTATAATCTGCGTTCGGTCTATGACGATTGCCTTCACTACCTTGACGTAAAGTATACTATTTTTTACCAGGATCCAGGTTTCGTTGTAATACAATACAATATTCAATCTAACCTCTTTGATCTGACTTTTTCTTCGGGAAGAGAAAATACATTTCCGTATGGCAGAAGATGAGGGACTCCCCCGCATGATGGTCGGGAGGAAACAACCCACTAAAATTTCCTTTTTGGAACTGTCTTGCAGCATAACTTCGGGGAGACTTGACTTGACCTGAACTGACCTGATCTGATCTAACCTGACGTAATCTGAACTAACCTTTTTTTAGACGTTCATAGGTTCTATTGCTCCCTTCTCTCTAGAGAATGTTTACTTATTAAGACTTCTCTTCTCCTGGCGTTGCTGTGGTGTCCATGTCGTTTTCTTTTCTTAATTCGTCTTTCTCTTATTGTTTCTGTCTTGTCTGTCTTTATATTTATCTTTTTCCAGTTGGTTTCATCTACGAATATAGCTTCTATCATATTTTCAGTGTTGAGATTTCCTTTCAAACATGCCATCTCAGTATAGTTGCTTTTAGAGATGTGTACTCAAATTTGTCCTCACATCAAACGTTTCACAGAGTTGATCCGATGACGGACCTCTGTGGGAGCCATTTTCAATTCATTCTTTGTTTAATAAACAGCTCTATTTCTCTTTTTGATAAATACGAAGGGATCGCTTTTACTAGATACTTACTCACTCCGCCTAGTTCAGTCATTTTTTTTCAGGAGTCCAATTGAACCCTTTTTTGACAACCACTACTCTCAGGGTACACTACATATTACTATCCTTCCCTTCCCTGGTCACAGATTATTTTGTTTTTCATGTCTCTGTTAATATCTGTCATAAAGAGTTTGTTAAACGCTATCCTCTTAGAGCTGATGGTGGTTTTGGTGTCGTGTAACGCAACTGTGACATCACGATTCCATAACCATTTCCATATACATCTTCGTCTAATTAATAACATCCTCTGTCTTGACTTGACCTAACCTGACTTGACCTGAATTGTACTGAATTGACCTGATTTGACCTGACCTGACCTGACCTGACCTGACTTGACCTGACCTGATCTGACCTGGTCTGACCGGACTTGATTTGCCCTGTCCTGACCTGACTTGACCTGACCCAATGGAGCTGACTTTTTTTTCAGAGGAGTTCGGAAATCTTCTAAAGACATTCGAGTCACTGGTGTTCAGAACGTGTTCGAGCATATTGGATTCGCGCCAATCTGCCTATACCTGCCAACTAAAACCTTTCCTCTTCTTCTCGGACTTATCCCGGTATCGTTTGCACGTAACTTAAGTAAGTCCTGTTTTTTGACATCTTTAATCGTGTTCTTCGCCTTCTCTCGTCCATTTCTTTTCTACTGATCACCTTTCTCACGAAACTTCGTCCTCTTGATTCACGGCGAATAAAAAAAATCATCACAATTGAGACAGGGCGGGTGGGCGGGCTTATATTTTGCCTTTTTGTTTTAATATGTATAGACTTTTTTTTAGAACATGAAACTTAAAACATGTTTAAAATGGAAAATTTGTATAAGGAAATATCGATTTTGCAGTTAGGCTCCGCCCCATAATTATAGATATATAAATAGAAAAAATTGGTCTAAAGAGTTTAGACAGTACTTCCCTCGCTGTCGGAAACTTGACGACTGCATGACTATTGTGTTTTTTTCTCATTACATTTTTGTAGTGGGAATTAAAAAAAAAATTGCGATGACGTCATCAACATTTTTGCAAGGACAAGTATATCAGTTGGGATAGATGTAGTGTAATACTAAGAATAAAATTATTGTATTCCCAAATTTTCGGGAAAAGAAATTGGGTCGTTTTGAATATTGATTTGTTATAATCAATAAAATAACGAAACAATTTACTCACGTATATGGCGCCGGTGTGTAATATGTAGAGAGCGGATTTCTGTCGGGCTAGGCAAGGCCAAACTCGGTACGGCTCGTACGGGATGCGAATTCATTGCGGTTACGGACTGCACTTCGTTTATTTGAGATTAGAATAACGCTGTTTCGTTGCACTCTGCTGTTAATTCCCGTTCTCATTTACTTAGCCGTTTGATTAATAAATCCTTAATTATATTTATGGAATTAGTACCGATTAAATTCAGTGATTATCTATCACCCGCTATTGAGTCCCGGCGATCCAGCGCGTCCCCACCGATAATCGTGACGTAGCCCGACAGAAATCCGCTGTCTAGTAATATGAGAGGCAACTGAAAATCGTTTATGTATAAACATTCTTAATTTAAGATGAGAAGCGCAACAGGATACGTGAGAGTCAAACAGAGAAACTGTAAACAAAACGACCATCGGTTTTATTGCTTCGACTTCCGCTTATTATATAAAACATTGAGTTTTATTTTAATTTTTGACGGTGGAATTCACAATTGGTTGATTATAAACATGTCTAT